AGTGAAGGTCAAAGAAATGGCCAGATTTTTGGGACTATGTATATTGATGGGGATAAACAGGCTCCCATTTTTGAAGATGTATTGGCAAACAGAAAAACCCTGGCATGTTCGGTTCTTCAACTTGTTTATGTCGTCGAGACGTTTCCAGCATATAAACCAGTTTTTCAATACATTCAATAACAATGCTCTGCCCGTGAACAATACTGATAAGTTGATAAAAGTGAGACCAGTGATGGATTATTTGAAAGAGAGGTTTGCAGAAGTTTACATCCCCAAGAAAGAGTTGTGTTTGGATGAAGGTACAATGGCATGGCGTGGCCAACTCTCGTTCAAAGTGTACAATCCAAACAAACCAGACAAGTATGGCGTGAAACTATATATGCTTGCTGAATCAGTATCTGGCTACATATATGACTTTGACGTATACTCAGGTATTGGTAAGACGATAATGGAAACAGTTACGGGGTTGATTCAGCCTTTAGTGAACAAGGGTTACCATTTGTACATGGATAATTACTACAACTCGGTTACCCTAACAGAGAAGTTGAGAGAAGTTGGGGTCTACACATGTGGTACAATTAGACTAATATGTGGCACCCCAAAGGTATTGCAAGCTCTAGCCAAGGGTAGACTTCCACTGGATACCACCGTATACCGCCGCAAAGATAACACCTTCATTCTACTTTGGAAAGACAAGCGAGTGGTCTCAATCATTACCAACATCCACAATGCAGACACTCAGCAAGTTCAGCGAAGGAAACGAATTCGCAAACGCGACGGAACAACTGTACTACAACAGGTAACAGTGAACAAACCTACTGCAATTTGCGAGTACAATAAGTTCATGAAAGGTGTGGACCTCTTCGTTCAAATGGTGAAGTATTACCATTTCACCAGGAAAACTCACAGGTGGACAAAAAAGATAACGTTTTATTTCCTGCAAATGGCATTGCATAATGCCTTTGTTTTGTACAAATACCACACAACTGATCGAAAGAGGCTAACATTGCTACAGTTCCACGAGGTGGCAATTTGGTCCCTATTGCACTGGAGCCCGGAAGAGTGGCCTCAAACAGCAACAATATCTCAACACTTGCAGCACGCTCCAGACATAAATGATGACACAGGTCCTGCCTATGCTAACGCAGTGCAACCTCCCGGACCATCTGGTGTGAGGTGGCCTTTGTTTACTTCAACACCTCAAGCTGAAGCAACAACAGAATCAGAACCCGAGATGTCTGGCACACAGCCATTTGATGAGACGGTTTTGACAGATGACTCTGACTCAAGTGTTGCACCTACACCGAGAAGACAAGGGCGTATTGTTGATTCTGAAAATCGGCTAAACTACAAACTGAAACATGAACTTTACAGACTGCCCAAACGTCTCAAGTGTCATGCCTGCGCACAGTCAGGTAAAAGGAAGGACACCAACATAGGATGCAGGACCTGTAACGTTGCACTCTGTGTTATTCCCTGCTACACCAATTACCACTGGAAAAGGGTGTATTGGGTGGTGAGGAAGTAACCACCCGCAACAGCTTCACTCCACCTACGAAACATGTGTTGAGTAACTTCAGGAATGTTGACCTGAAGAAGGTGGAGTGGAGAAAAAATGCTCAACTTACTGTTCCACAATCAGCTATTCCTTGGTAAGTACACATAATTGGTCCAAGTTTGTGTAGTATAATTTATTGCGAGTATTTTGATACCAGAATGAACACTGTATCACATAAACTGCCGTAAGTAGACTCGAAACTTCATATAATTTTTTTTGGGTGTAGCGGGTGTGTTGGATGTCCCAAATGGGTTCCAGTTGGGTGACTTTAGGCGTTTATACTGGTAAGGCTTCCCCCATATCATGTATTATATGCATATGTCTGTTTACGGAATTTTATTCCGATCAATGTACAACCAAAAATAACTGTGTGCAACAAGTATAGACTTGATAAACATAACAGCAGTAAAAACATTTCGTTGGTGTTTGACGCTCACTGATATGTTCCAGCGTTGTTTTATATTTGGCGCTAATCTAACTTACACTTTGTTGATCTTTTTTACCTAGGTTCTCATAGAACATTCTATTGCGAACACATTGGCACAAAAATGAATGACGTACATAGAAAAATAATGTCAGGACAGTGAAATAAGTATAAACTTTCAAAAGCGCCGTATTGCGCATGTGTCATTGCGTCAATGATACCAGGTAACAGTTCGGTCACTTCCCACAATCTTGTGGGTGGGCTGCGACCATAATTCTACGTTTATATTCATATCTCTGCGTTGGGAATTTCATTGCGAGTCCAGTGATACCAAAATTATCGCGTTAGGACAAGTGTAGAGTTGACAACAATCCCAAGAGTAGAAACATTTTGTTGCTGCTTGGCACTCACGGCGAGTCATCTACGTAGAGTATACACATTTTGGTTTTGCCGCTCAAGCGCCCGAAACGCCGCACGCACGTACCACTTTTTTTTTTAACGTTTGCCGGGAGCGCGAAAGTGTGTTGATATGTATGCCTACCTTATTTGTGTGCTACTCTCACTGCTATTCAGACATCAGCATTGTGTCCCCACGACCTCAACCAACTCCACCTTGTCTGCTGCCACACGCAATCCCTCTGCATGTAAATTTTTTAATATCTGCAGAGGGTGTGTGTGTGTGTGTGTGTTTTACAGATATTCATAACATTGTTCGTAGTGTGGGAGAAAGCTGGCGCAGGGAGAGGGGATGCTGTCATAGCTAAACAACAGTGGTTCCTTCATTGACGAATTTAACCCATTCCCAGAGACTGCTTGCAACCCGAAAATTCGTAACCTGAAACGAATTTTCCCATAAGAAATACAGTAATGTAAATTGAATTAATCCATTACAAACTCCCAAAATATTAACTTAAAAATACATTTCATACATAATACACACAAATATTTTGTTCTATATTAGTATATGTGCAAATTATAGCTTACCTTTATTGATGACTTGTTGGCGTATAGAAGACGGTGAGGAGGGGGGGAAGGAGGAGAGGTGTTAATGTTTGGAAGGGAAGTCCTGTTCCATTATAACACCAGGCAGTGATGACTTCTCTGGGGTACTCTCTCTCTCTCTCTCACATTTTGCCTGCATACCTGGTTGTGCATACTAGCACCTGGTTGTGGTGGCCGATTGCTTCTTCATCTCACTAACCATGGAGACTTGTTTTTCCTCTATGGTCATCCTCACATGTGTTTTCTTAGGTTAAACCTTACCACTGACTATCTTGGGTCCCATGGCATGGTACAGTATATAATAATTACTTTTATGTTTAGAAACAATAAAAGCTGAAAAAACTATGAAATTCTTTACAAAGAATTTAAGCGCGCTTATCACTGAGCGGGACGCACTGTTAAACTGAGGCACAGTCGCCCATTCTACCAGGAACCACTCGCTCGGTCGACCCATACGTGTATCAACTAACTCACAACTTGAGGTACAGCTTGTAAACCGAATCGAATTCTACGAAAAAATTGAGCTCGTAACCCGAAAAATTTGTAAATAGGGGCAGTCATACGCCGAGATTCCACTGTTCACTAAAAACATAACTAGAGTACCAGTAAATTAGAATGTATGGCAGCTTAGGACATGTATTCCATATTTTCACTTTTAACATTACAGTACTGTACTGTGGCGTGTCCTATGTGTGTAATGTGTACTGTATTTTCCACTTATACTGTTGGTTGTTGTGAAAAACTAATTTGTCAGCTGTTCATGTGCAAATGGATTTTTAAAGGTTATATAGTCAAAATTAAAATTATTTTACAATACCTGTACAATATAAAGATTATTTATAGGGAGCCGGTCGGCCGAGCGGACAGCACGCTGGACTTGTGATCCTGTGGTCCTGGGTTCGATCCAAGGCGCCGGCGAGAAACAATGGGCATGGTTTCTTTCACCCCATGCCCCTGTTACCTATCTTGAGGTTATCTTGAGATGATTTCGGGGCTTTAGTGTCCCCGCGGCCCGGTCCTCGACCAGGCCTCCACCCCCAGGAAGCAGCCCGTGACAGCTGACTAACTCCCAGGTACCTATTTACTGCTAGGTAACAGGGGCATTTAGGGTGAAAGAAACTTTGCCCATTTGTTTCTGCCTCGTGCGGGAATCGAACCCGCGCCACAGAATTACGAGTCCTGCGCGCTATCTACCAGGCTACGAGGCCCCATAGCTAGCAGTAAATAGGTACCTGGGTGTTAGTCAGCTGTCACGGGCTGCTTCCTGGGGGTGGAGGCCTGGTCGAGGACAAAGCCGCTGGACACTAAAAAGCCCCGAAATCATCTCAAGATAACCTCAAGATAGGAGTTTTGTGTTGGGAAAATTTGTTTGTGTATTGCAGTAAATTAATTTTTAGAATTTTTTAAAAAGCCCAGACTGGGGCTATTGCACAGGAGATGTGAATATTCTATACTGTCCTTCAGTGATGAATACAATATTTACAAGGTTTATGTCAATACATGGCAGCCATGTTATTATAAAACAGTATCATTGATCATGTATTGTTTTGCTTTCCTGATCTAGGATAGTGCTTTCATTTGGCAATTGCTGTTTTTGTTTGTTTCATTTTAAAAATATATATTATTCTTAAAGCTATGAATAATTGCTGTGATTAAACTGGAATTTACTTATGTGGCACTCGCCACCACGCCCCGGGGTGGCACCCGCCGCACAAGGGGAAATTGTGTTAGATACAAATTTTATCTCGCTGTAATATTGTCTGGCTGTTTATGAGGGAGAGAATGTGAATGCGTGGATGAACAGTCTCGAGGAAACATATGTTAATCCTTCTTAACATATGATTAATATAAGAATTCTATGAGTATGTCTTCAACATTAATGTAATCAACATTAATTAATGTAATATGTGTTATATATGTTGTTAGAGATAATTTGTGGACCTATTTACAAAAAATAACTGCATTGTTTTTATTCAGTTGATTGTTAAATTTTTATTCAACACTTGCTATTTGCAGGTGGTCCGGGGAGCGTTGTGATGCCCCCCCATCCTGGCAGTGGACAGAGTGACGGTCGCAGCAGCAACATGCATACGCCTGGATACCCCCCTGGTGCTCCACCGCACATGTCTACAGGTCCCCCTCCTGGTCCTCACAGTTACTCAACAAAGATGGGCCACATGCCCCCTGGTGGTCCTCCAGGGCCATCCTATGGCCAGGCAGGGTATCAAGGAGGGCACCAATACCCCCCAGTCAGACCACAGGGTCCAATGATGCAGCCATACCCCCAAAACTTTCCACCTGGAGCTCCACAAGGCTCTCAAGGTCCTCCTTCCTCTATGCCACCTGGTCATCAGTACCCTCCACGGCCCCCGCACAATAACCATGTTCCTCCCAACCAGCCATACGGGTATCCTCCATTTGGGACGCAAGGTTGGGGAGGACAAGGCATTAACCAAGGTCCTCCAGGACCAAGTATGCCTGGGGCCCCTGGTATTATGCCTGGGGCCCCTGGTATGTCAGGTAAAGGTGGTCCTGTCCAGATGCCAAGCCAGGTTGGTCAGCCAGGGGCCAGTAGTGTGGGTGGTCCCAGGCCCCACACTCCCCCACATACCTCTCACTATATAAAGCAGCACATTGCAAAAATGGGGGCATATATGGGACCCCAGATGTATCCAAATGGTCCTGGTATGCCAGGCATGCCAGGCATGCCCAATAGCAGTCGTGAGAGTCCTCAAAACAACATGCCACCACCCACGTCCACTCCACAACCACAAACCCCATCCAGTACCCCCTTGGATACTGGAGACCACTCTGGGAGCAATACCACTGTCAACAACAGCAACCCACCATCTATTGGACCTGATGGTAATCCAGTAGTAGACGAGGCATCACAACAGTCTACAGTTTCAAACAATTCTGCTGGTAAGTATTTTTTTATTAATATTTTTGCATTGTATAGTTTTGCAGATTTAACAGAATCTCATTACTATTAATGTTTCTGTATTTTTTATATTTTTAAAGTTTAAGAGTTGCTACAATATTTTTACATTTTGAATCCATAAAACCTTATGGCAGAAAAGCCTTATGGCAAACCTTTGTGAAGCAAACGCCTCAAACTGCTTCAGAAGTCCAAACCTTCATAGAATATTTCTTTTCACATATGGTCATTAATCAGATTACTATATGAAAATGTTTGTACTGTAAACTTTTAAAATTAATTTATAGATGTGTATTAATACAGTTGATAGGGAATTTGTGCATTATTTGCTGGCTAATTTAATAGTCGAGTTTAACAACCGTTTTCTTGATGTCTATCGAGCAGTACAAATAACAAATATATGCCTTTAGAGGAAGTAAACAAAGTGAAATGTTAATAGTGAATTTGTAAGAAATATGGGAAGGATGTGGTTGTTCCTTTGTAATTTTCAGTTTAAAAGTAGTACTCTTAGACATGTACCATAAATGCGTTAAATTACTGTATAAAGTTAGTGATAAGACTTGGCTTAACCTAGAATGGGTTCTTTACAGGAAGGGCCCATTCCACCCTTGGGGGTATGGGCACCCTGTCTGCCCAGGGTATGGGTATGTCTCGCACCCTGGGAGTGCGAGACAAGTTTCTCAGAGATGTGAGGGTGCTGTGATCACACATGGCCCACTTTGGGGGAGTGACATAAAAACTGAGTACAAAATTTGTGTTATAACTTTGTCATAACGGTATGATCTTTTATTAACCGAGTGCAAGGACGAGGGTGCGAGACTGGCTCGATAGTTTAAAAAATGTGTGATCATGATAAATGGTTAAGAATCACTGGGCTAGAATGAGTCGGAATTATAGACATGGATTTTAATATTCAGCATTGTAATTACGATATAAATGGACATTGCATGAGGAATTTGTTAGCTTACTGTGAATCCTTTTTAAATAATATATTTGAAAAATTCATCTAATATGAATACAGAATTTGTAACTTGGAAGGAGTAGAAATATGGGAAGTTTGTAATAGAAGTACTAGTAAGAGAGCAGTGTCAAAGATATAATTTGTGTTAATTGTAAATGTAACAGTATGAAAAATTTACACAAGCGGACCGGTCCGCGAGGATGCTAAGCCCCGAAATCCTCAGAAACCTCCCCAAGCCTGGCCTGATTTGTGAGAGCTTGGTCCAACAAGCTCCAGGATGTGGGAAGACTTTACTGCGTACTCACCTAGTTGCAATTGTGGGGCATGAGCTATGACTCTTGGGGCCTACCTCTATCCTCACAGTAATCAACTGGTATATAGGTCACAGAACCTACCTTACTTTGAAGTCGCCTAGAGTTGGTGCTGAGAATCAGTATCCATGTAGTCTCCTAGTTAACCAATCTTTCAGAAAGATCTACACTTAGTCTGATGTATGAATCCCAGTCCGGTTGATCTGGTACCTTTTGGAGGTATTTTATCCAGTTCCATATTGAACTCCAAAAGAAGTTGGATTGTTATGCCCCTTATATTTGGTGGGTTGATGTTGAAAAGCCTTCTGCTCTTAATCTTTTTAGAATTGTCTCTTAACCCTCAACATTTGGTCATCATCCTGTAACGTATGTTCGTATATGTATTTGGGTGATAAGACTCGAAGAGTATAGTGGTTTTTGACATTTATTTAGTGTAATCTTTGCTACAGCAGTCGGTTTGTTGGCAATGTAGTGACGTGTTGTAGTAGTTGAAATGAGGCCTGGAGCAGGGCAGAGAGCTTGAGTGAGGCCAGGGGCTAGATAGCTCAGATGCGGGTGTGAGTGTGTAGAGCGTTGAGCTCTGAATGTGGGATTAGAGCGGGGAAGTTTGATGTGGCCAGAATCTGACTGTCTGCTCTGTGACGAGGCTATAGCGTCTTGAGGCAGGAGGAACTAGACTCGTCAAGTGTTACAGCGTTGCTGGTGAATGTCACTGGTGCTGAAGATATGCGTGCTCCCTCAAGTGTCGCAAGTTTAGACCAACTCCGATCTGCATACAACGGCTTATGATACAAGCTTTTCCTCGCCTTGGCCGAACTGACCAACATCTAGCAGGTTGGGAAGAGTTGTTGTACACTTGGGAGTTGCAATTAGTGAACCTAGGATTAGTGTTGGTTAAACTTCTTGGAATGTGGAACACTTAGAGCTAGGTTATGTAAAATTAACACACACATCTCATAATCTGTCATGAACCTATGAGAGTATGGAGGAAGTAAATTACTTCTTAATATAGCTGCTACACTCTTTTTGTTGATCACCAGGGCTACTATGGCTATCATTGTTTAGATGATCATTATTGCCTGGTTTGTATTCCAATGAGAATATGGTTATAATAACTACATAAATGTAGTCGCGTTATCAAAGACACTTGAACAATTTATGGTATCATTTTCTAATAGCTTGCTATGCAATGCTAGCATGTACTCGAGCCTGATGTTATTGCCAATTGACTATTTCATCTTTCCCACAAATTTTTGAATCCATACACGAACGACATTCCTAGAAAGAATCACAGCAAAGAAGTGGGTTACAAAACACTTTCTCTGAACTGTGCCAGGAATAGATTTACATGCGATACGCATGAATATTACATTGTGGGCATATATGCAGTACTCGATCACTACATTATGTAAACTGATAAGTGAAGCAGTGAACATAAAAACATGCAAAAACAATATATGCACCCCTCCCCCTCAACTACCACCACTGTGTCAACATCTCTCGTGTATTGTGTTGAAATACACAATGACCCCGCCACCGGGCTCTCTGCTAAAACTGATTCTATGCTCTTTTTATTCCATAAATGCATGCGCAACTGCTTCGGCTTTTCTGGATCTCTCCTGACTGGGGTGTATTATTTTCTGGCTTTTCCTAGTAATTACCTAAGTGTAGTTACAGGATGAGAGGTATGCTCGTACCCCGTAGATTATGACCTTTACTTCCCTGCACTTCTTTTTAAACCATGGGTTTATCCTGTTTATTTTTGTTGTTGTCAATTTCCTTCCCAAGTAGGATGAATCTGACATGACTTTTGTACATTCTTAGACTACAAATTCTATCATATTATTTGGTGTCTTCCACTCCAGGTCATTTTACCATGGATCTTCATGCAGGAAACTGCTATCCTTTGGTAGTGTGACCACCTCAATCTGGACCCTTACCTTGACTTGACTCTTGACCCTCTGTTAGTCAGGTTCCTTCTTGCCCAGTGTATTGTCCTTAGTTATCTTGCTCTGATTCTCCAGTATCAGGCTTTTTGACACTAGGAGAATATAGTCTACCCAGCTCTTCTTCCTCATAGTGTATCTGACACAGCCCCTCTCTCTCTTCACATCTGACCCAGTTTTCTTGTTTCTGTTGCATCTGATCCAGCCTCATTTCTATTGCATCTGCATCATCCTGAGTGAACTCCAGGTCTAGGATGGCAGGAAGTGCAAAATAGTCCCATTGGCAAGAAGAGCTGCAACAGGTACACTGAGAGATGATTTTAACATCATTAAGGGCCTAAGGCTTCAACACACTTCCTCTATAAAGGGGCAATACTAGCCAGCTTCCAACGGTGTTCAAAATAGAACTTTTTAAACACTTGCAAAGTATAGTATACCAGTCAACTAGGCTTTGATTTGTATGGTAGACTATGAGTAGCTGCATCTAATAGCATGGTTGATCAGACTACTAAGCAGGAGACCTGGCCAGACCGGACGTCGAGTCTCTGAACCACTTCTAGATAGCATTGCTGGGTCATCTGGCTCACAATTGTAGAACTACTATAACATGCCCTTTAACGAATTGGAAGACACGCACAATTTCATCATTTGTAAACTTCATGAAAGTTATTACAGTACCAAATGTGAATATACTTTAGTTAAATAAAATATTTATTTTATTTTAAATAAAGATGCGAGACCTCTTAAATAACTCGGTCCTGAGTTATATGTGCTATGAGCATATTTCTGTCAGCCCTACCTTGTGTAGCTTTCAGGGATCAACGGCCCCACAGCCTGGTCTCCAACCAGGCCTCCCGGTTGGTCGTCTGATCAATCAAGCTGTTGGAAGTTAGGGAGCAGGTCGGCCGAGCGGACAGCACACTGGATTTGTGATCCTGTGGTCCCGGGTTCGATCCCGGGCGCTGGCGAGAAACAATGGGCAGTTTCTTTCACCCTATGCCCCTGTTACCTAACAGTAAAATAGGTACCTGTGTTAGTCAGCTGTCACGGGCTGCTTCCTGGGGGTGGAAGCCAAGCCTGGTTGAGGACCGGGCCGCGGGGACACTAAAGCCCCGAAATCATCTCAAGATAACCTCAAGAAGAAGTGGCTGCTCAAAGCCTAAAATACGAATCACAGCCTGGTTGATCAGCTATTCTTCAGTGGTGTTTGTTGAGTTCTTTCTTGAACACTGTGAGAGGCCGGCCAGTTATGCCCCTTATGTGTAGTGGGAAAGTGTTGAAAAGTCTTGGACCCTTGATGTTGGAGTTCTCTCTGAGTATCTATTGCACCTTTGCTTTTCAATGGGAGTATTTTGCACATTCTGCCATGCCCACTGATTTCATGTGATGTAATTTCCGTGTTCAGATTTGGAACTAGTCGCTCTAATATCTTCCACGAGTAGATTATTATGTCTTGCTTGTGTTCTAGAGCATACAGATTAGAACTTTTAATCGGTCCCAATAACCAAAGTGAATTATAGAGTGGATTCTAGTGGTAAAGGATCTTTGCACACTCTCTAGGTCAGCAATTTCTCTGGCTTTGAATGGGGCTGTTAGTGTGCAACAATGTCACCCTAGAGAGTACTAATTACTTGAGAAGTATCATCCTTGGTATGGCAGGCATCCTTTTTTTGGAAGGGCCTTGTTATCTAGCCTGTCTAACCTGAGTAACCTTTCTTTGTCTATGATTGGAGTTAATAAAATATGCTGAGTTTTTCACTGCACAG